TTGAGTCTCAATTTCATTAATTTCTTCCCAGATCTTTATGATTTCCCTTTTTAAATTAGCTTTGGGTTTGGATTGTTGCTGTTTTTTTAGTTTCTTTTCTTTGGGTTTTTTTTTTTTTTTTGAGACAAGGTCTTGCTGTGTAATTCAGGCTGCCCTTGAACTGACGATGGAGCCCCGGCTGGCCTCAAACTCCCAGCATTAGCACTGATTGGCAAGTTCAAAGAGAACATAAGCCAGAAAATAACAGAACTAACATACAGAACAGCCAGTATGGATATGAAAGAAATGAAAAATTGGAAGAGCTGGCCAAAGTGTTTGAAAACACGAATGGCAAATTTACTCAGGATATAGACTCCACAAAAGGAGTCAGAAAGTAATATTGAAGATAAAAAATTGTACAGAATTCGTAAACTGCAGAAGTGACCAATGTGCAGACAGTTTCTGAAATTGAGGATAGAATGGTAAATTACTACAAATTACTCAGAGAAACAGTAAGAGAACAAGAAAAATTCATCCAACAGCTACTAGATGCTAAGACCAAACTAAGGCTAACTGGGTTGGAAGCTGTTTGCTTTTAGGGCTTAAAATATTTCACAGCCAGGTGTGGTGGCATGTCTGAATTCCTAGCACCAGAAGCTGAGGCAGGAGGATTGCTGGGAGTTCGAGGCCAGCCGGCGCTCCATCGTCAGTTCAAGGCCAGCCTGAATTACACAGCAAGACCCTGTCTCAAAAAAAAACAAAAAACAAAACTACAAAGTGGATATACCTTTGTGTATTATTTGCATAGCTGGTCACTACGATGCACATTCCAGGAAATGATCTCAGCACTGATTGGGATCATTTCCTGGAATATGAGGCCCTGATCTCTGGTGGTCTAGGGCTTATATGGGATAAGCAAGCAGGAAGTACAGAGGCAGAATGGTTTGTCAGTTGGGGATTGGTTTATATAATGTGCATCATAGTGACGAGCTATGCCACAGTGAGCAGCTGTTTTTTAAGAGACAGGAGCAGCTGGATCTGGAACAGGAACTTACCTGAGCAAGTAACAAATCAAGGTATACTGGCTGGGAGGTGGGGGGGCGCACATTTTCTGCTACTTGCTCATCCAGCTCATTCACAAGAGCAGGCATTTTAGGATTTCTGGCTCTTCAAAGTCAAAATAACTATGAAAAATCAACTTGTATGTTTCTTTGTTTTTTAGAGAGGGTCTTGCTATGTAGTTCAGGCTGGCCTTGAAATTACTGTGTAGTCCAGGCTGACCTCAAACTCACAACAGTCCTCCTGCCTCAGCCTCATGCATGCTAGGATTACAGGAGTGCACCACCACGTCCGGTTAAAAGTCAAGTTTTGGAATCAATTCAGGACATCAGGGTAGTCACAGTATTGTAATTAATGACACTCAGGAA